TTCAAGACTGAGACCAAAAGGTTGCTATGCCTGGCACATTGATATATTTTCTGTTGATCATCTTGAATCTACTGCAAATTTCAGACTTGTTGAAATCTTCCTTTGCACTGGCCATTTGCAAGGGCCATCAACCAGAATCTGAGAGGCGTAGAAGGTTACTTTATACAGTTTTCATCCAGTGAAAAGAAGTAGGAAGACAAATTCCATCCCACTGGCTTTTACCAAATAATTCTTAAAGTAAGTACTTGCTAGGAATAGAGTCCAATATATTTCCTTCATACTGATTGTCTATGAAGGAGGCATTTATGGTCTATAGAATATGATATGATAAGCTTTGGATTCAAAACCAACTATTATTTATACTTTATCATATTAACTTTCATTGAAGCATATACATCTTACAAATCTGAAATGACAGCTTGAAATATTATTTCTGTGACATGTACAAATGTCAGAAAAATTATCCAACTGCACTCCAAATATACACACTACTGCACCATTGCTCCTAGTAAGATGTATCTGGCATCACTCAAGCAAATAAGAGCATTCTGTTTTCCTTCAGATTAAACAGGTGAAAATAGCACTGTTAAGTAACAGCACATTTACTTCTGAGAATTCAGGTGGCCATTCACTCTGAGGCTGTTGATATATCTTGAAAGAATATCATACTGAATAAACATGTTTGTGCCTCATTAACTTTTCTCATACAGAAAATCAGTTAATTGCATCTTTGGACTTGGGTTTATTGAAAGATAAAGCATATAGAATTTAATAAAATGATAATTATAATTATATAACTATATAATAATTATATCTGCACATAAATATATAAACAAAAATAATAACATGAGATTGTGTTTCTGATAGGCATAGGCATAACCTAAATCCCTGCAGAGAAATCCTCTAACCATGATTAGTTAACTTTGGTCTTAAAAGCTAAATAGAAGTGAGACTACTGGATTTCCAGCTGATGTCACAGTGAGATCGGAGCAGGTCTCCATGCTCCCACACTGAGTTCTCCCTGTTAGAGGGCTCCGAAAGGAGCTAAAGCCACCCTAGAGGGGTGGTGAAGAAAAGAGGGGTGCCCTGCAGGTCGTGGAGAGTCACAATCTCTCCTGCTTGATTCAGGGCTTTCTTCCCTCTCCCTCACCTCCTCACGACGAGGAGAAGAGGCAGTTAAAAATGGCTACTGTGAAGCTGGGACAGCCAAGGCAACAAAGAAATCACAGGAGTGGTGTAAATGAACAATGAATGGAACTGGGTGAGATGATTCCTTTTTTATCTAAATCCTAATCCTAAAAAGAAAAGAGGAAAAAAACCCTAACCCAAACTATTTGTTAAAACAGTGAATAACCACATAGAGAAAAACTACAGACCTGAAAGAAAGAAACTAAGAGGGGGAAAGTTAAAAATTTCAAAGCACAGAAAATTGGATGGTTAAATTGGACAGGCATTATTTTGGAAAGGCATTTTAAAATGCTGGATCTATTTACTTTAATAATTGGCTTTGCTTTTATAAATCAAATTAAAATTTGATTAAATACCTGTTAGAACTGAGACAATGCTGAAACCTAAGCTGAGAGTGCCATTTACTGATGAATGAAAATATACCATACTCTATAAGCCTGGAAAAATTTTGATAAGAAAAATAAACAACATTTGGAGAACTGTGGTGATATTTACTGTTCTATACTTATCTACTCTATGACTATGGGAGGTTCAACTGTGAGAACAAGGAAGATACCTAAATAAAGCAACATCTGAATGCTAAGATATATTACTAAACCTATAAAGGAGATATTTGGAGAGCTTCCTGGACTACCTGAACATCTGATGGAATAATCCTGGGACATAAAAGAACTATGACTATTGTATTCTTTGAGGAGCAACATTAGGCCTGAATATATGTTTTTTTTTATTATTGAATAAGAGCAGACTTTATCAAAATAAGATGAGATGCTCTACATGAGGAAAATCAGTGGAAGTTCAAAAGAAATACTGTTGATGTTCCAAAGCATTGATACTTTGGACAAAGAACTTTAGGGAGATAAAAAAGTTACTGCAAGGCATAGATAGGAAAATAGAAAATATTTTACAAGGGACAATGAACAAAGATCAAGATGTCCAGGAAAGGGAGGAGACAACAGAAAGAATGGAGGAAAAGACAAAACACACAAATCAGCAAACAAAACAAGGAGAAGGAGAAGACAATAAGGATTATAATGACTAATGAAATAAATCAGGGAAAAAGTATTTTAAGAGATTTAAAAATGGAATTGAAAGATACCTTTGAAAGAGAGATAGGGGTTTTGGCAGATACTCTGGAGCAGTGGTGGGTTTCAAAAATTTTTACTACCAGTTCTGTGTGTGTGGCTTGGTGGGCATGGCAGGGGAAGATTACTGCAAAATCTCCATTTCCTCCTGATCAGCTGGGACTTTAGCTGATTTTATTTTATTTTTAAATAAAAGAATAAAAGCAATAATTAGAGGTTGAAAGATGGATTTAATATGTATGTTTAAATAATATGGTGATTGATGTCAGGATGGAGTATTGGGATTATATCTTAATACAATATGTGTATTACATTAGGATTAGTAAGGATAGCCTGACTAAATAGAATAATTGAAATAATTAATTTGAAAGATTAGAGGTTGAAAGATGGTATTATTATGCATGCTTAAATAAAATTGTAATTGGCATTAGAATGATACATTGAAATATTGAATAACTAAATAATGAAGGACTATATCTTAATGCAAATATGAGTATTAATTTTAGGAGTATATAAGCATAACCAATGTAACAAATATTATTGATATCAGTATTATTTTATACCCAGATGCCACACTGTTCATGTATTGATGTTGATGTACAGTATATATAAAAATAAAGAAAAAACATAATAATAATAAAAAAAGAAGTAAAACTGCTTAATACTTGGCTTGTAGTCTAGACCAGCATTTCTAAACCTTGGCAACTGTTAAGATGTGTGATTTCAACTCTCAGAATTCCCCAGCCAGCATAGAAACTCTGGTCTAGACTAATAACTCAAAAGATGTCTCAGACAGAACGAAGCCATTATCCTGAATAGTCTTTGGACTGCTGAGTTGGAATTAGTAGGTCAAGTTAATGCTGAGTAGTTATGTCTGTTAGAAGTAGTTCTAAAATGATTGAGAGAATAGGTTCAGGGGGTAAAGTCCTCTTATCTTTTATGAGCCTCCGAATAAAATACTTAGCTAAAATTTGGTGTCAAGAGACTAAACTTTTTTGGATTTTCTAAGCCTCACCCTCCAACTCACCCACAATGGCCTTCCATAATTTGAGCAGAAGTCACGATTAAATACTACTGAATTCTATCCAATGTGTATAGCCACAATTGTAGGCTTAACCTTTGTTTTCCTCCCCACCCCAATTCTACTTTTATTTGTCCTTATCATTTGTTTCTGTCTGTTCTGAAGCAGAAGAGTGTGAGCATCAGGACAGTATTCCATGAGCCTTTCGTCTTTATTTTATACTGATGATGGAAAAGCCCTAGTTTCTATTAACTTTTCTAGCAACCAATTAAAACAGCCTGAGTTCACAGATTTCCTTTTTATTTTGTTTTTGGGATGTGTACATAAGAAATTGGGGATCTACTACTGTGGGCTGCAAACAATTCAAACTCCTTTGTATGTTTGAGTCCAAATCCCCTGAGATTGTGCCATTAGAACTCAGCCTAACCCATAAAACAATGGTGATGTTATTTCTGCTGATTTTTTTTTTTTTTTGAATGAGGAAAAGTCCCTGATAATGCTTCCTATACCTAGAAAGGTTTATGAGCAAAAAACCTAACCTTCTGCAAACTGGAAAAAAAAAAAACCCACTTAAAATATTGTCTCTGTCCTCAGTAAAGCAGTAATGGTATTACATCAGTATCCAACCTATAATGACCATTGGAATGCAACAACTACAACAATGTAACAATAGTTCATGAAACCAGCATTTGCTTTTCCTGGCATACACCTAAAAAGGATCTTAGGACTTGAGGTAATACCAACTTGCCTTTCTTCACAGTTGGATAAATAAAATCAGAAACTGTAACAGATAAAGAAGAAAATACACTGAAATTGGGGGGTTTTTTTCTGTATGGATGAAAACTCTTAAATCTTTATTGCATCTAAGAAGAATTTGTAAGATTTCAGATTATAATTTTAAATTCTTCACTAAATAATTAAGTAGCTTGCAGGTGATAAAAAAAATTGCAGCAAGAAAGAAAAAAATTAGAATACAGGTAGTATTTGACTTACGACCACAATTGAGGCCAAAATTTTTGTTGTTAAGTAGGACATTTGTTAAGTGTGTTTTGCCACATTTAAAACCTTTCTTGCCTCAGTTGCTAAGTGAACCATTGCAGCTGATAAATTAGTAACACTAGTTACTAGTGTTAAGTGAATCTGACTTCCCCAACTTTGCTTGTCAGAAAATTGCAAAGGTGATCACATGACTCCGGAACACTGCAACCGTCATAAATATGAACCAATTGCCATATGAACACATGACCATGGGGATGCTGCAAAGGTAGTAACTGTGAAAAACGGTCATAAGTCAGTTGTTTGAGTGCTGTTGTAACTTTGAATGGTCATTAAATGAACTGTGGTAAATTAAGGACTACCTGTATAGAAATCATTAATTTAACTTCATCGTTTAAGTGTACTTTCTATCTGGAAGGCTCCATTGCAAAAATTACATTATTATAAGTGGAAGCTCTCTTTTTTTCTGCACTCCCAACTCATGAAGATGGATTTGCTGTTTTGGAGCAGCAAACTTATTTTATATGTTATCAATCCTTGATGTTTTTTGATGATGATGCTTTTTCCCATCTGAGAAAAGGAAAGTCAAGCAATGTGGAGACATTTTTTCTGCCCTACTGAATTCAAACTTCGGCTGAATATTTAAATTGATCTAAGACGCATTTTTCAAAAATCAAGATTATGCCCAACGTGTACAAACAGTGGTTTACCTGATACTATATAATACTTTCCCATTTTTGGAAATCCTTAGAAGCTTGTTGTCTGTTGTAACATCGTGGAAGTTTGCACCTTTCTCGTTGGCAAAGAATAAATCGGGTTTCCAAATAGAGTCCAACATTGATGGATCCAAATCCAAGGAGTCATCAGGGTATTCACTATAAGCAAGACGGGAGTCGTTCCACTGCTGCCTCAAAAAAATGTTCACTCTGTAGTCCTATAGAAATGTCAGATATACCAATTATTTAATCTTTTGTTCAGGTGACTGTGCTTTTAGACTTTGAAACCTAGATGAATTATTGAATTATCTGATACAATATGCTTTATGTTAGTCAAGGACAATCTCGGAGTTCTTGTCATTATTGTTGTTATTGTTGTTGTTGTTGTTGTTGTTAACCTTCAATTCAATTCTCATTCTGGAACTGGTAAAAACTTAACAGTTCATGTCCTAACCAAGGATCTAAGAGCTGTTAAGGTAACATCTGGGTATATAGGCAGTTCCGAGTAAGGTGGTTTTTTACAAAGTCAGAATATTTAGGTCTAATAAATTCAAAATTCCCATGTATCTAGGCAACCCTTTGGATATTGCTCCAAGGGCTTCTATTACTATCGATACAACCTACTATTGAGGACCCAGATTATGAGGACAATAAGCTGACTTTGTATAAATATACAAAAGTATGAAGGCTATTGCTTAACGCATTGTAAGCAGCCCTGAGTCTCCGGAGAAGGGCGGCATATAAATCAAATTTTTTTTAAAAAACCATTGATTTCTTCCTCCACAATCATTCAACTTCAATTTGCACCTTGCGGTATTTCATAGTTTTTTGTAGCTGTTTCTCTTCAAATCATGCATTACCTGTGGACCAAATGTCTGTCTGTTTGGATTCAAAAATCCCACATTCTCCTTGTTGTTGTTGTTATTATTATTATTAATCATTGTACACTCAGCCAGATGTTCAGACCAGTGGTGGGTTTCAAAAATTTTTACTACCGGTTCTATGGGTGTGGCTTGGTGGGCGTGGCATGGCCTGGTGGGAGTGGCAAGGAAAGGATACTGTAAAATCTCCATTTCCTCCCAATCAGTTGGGATTTGGGAGGCAGAGAATAGATGGGGGCAGGGCCAGTCAGCATTTTTACTACCAGTTCTCGGAACTACTCAAAATTTCTGCTACCAGTTCTCCAGAACTGGTCAGAACCTGCTGAAACCCATCTCTGGTTCAGACCCAGGTTTGGCATTTTTGTCTACCTATCGAGTCCTAACAAGGACCTGGGATAGGCAGATCTGGATGTTTGATGGTGTTATATGTACCACCACAGGATACAAGCTGTTCCCAGTAAAGCCGCCTTTTAAATTTAAAATTGACTGATGGCAAATTTTTCAGTACCAATGGTGTATTGTTATTGTTGTTGTTGTTGTTAATCATAAAGCTATGGAGTGGCAATTTTACCTCATTCTTTTGAGGTACCAAAAGAACCAAAAAAAAATTAAACTCTGACTGTATCATGGAGTGCAACTTTTCATTTACCATATGTTTTATTGATAAAATTAATAAAATTCATCTATTCAGCATAGTAGAAACATTATGAAATGTAATTAGTATTCCATAATAGTGAGAATAAAAACTGTCTAAACGTTATAAAAACCTGCCAGAATTTTAAAGACTAATTTTGATTGCCTCCTCATTGATTAATTTGCAAGTATCTAACTAAGCATTCGTACAATATATCCAGCAGAGTAATTTATAAATAAACATTAGCTGGGAATCTTTGTGGAATATTTATTGACCTCAGTACAGTGAATGCATTTTGAATTATTGGAAGATAAACACAGTCTGTCCTAGAAAGAATTAACATTTGATAACATTAACATTTTGTGCTATGCTGAAAAATTATGTAAAATATAGACTGAGTAACTTTAAGAGTTTTTTCTCCCTAATGGTACAAGATTATGGCATCATTGTGTAACAACAGGCAGAATTGTTTGATGTGGAATGTCTTTGAAGGTGGGTGGAACTTGTTACTGATTTTTTCCCCCAGCTTTCAGTTGTTTCTTTGAGAATGAGAAATATTGTATGAGTGAGTCCTGACATGATATCTGCTTTAAGGCTACTATGAGGGTAGGTGGTATTTTGCTAAAGATACATGGGGAGCAATATCATGAAGACCCACCAGTCTTAATCTTCTTAAAGAGTTATCTAATTTCATTTTTAAAAATTCAAACTACAGTTTATTTATTTATTTATTTATTTATTTATTTATTTATTTATTTATTTATTTAATAAATTTAATTTATATACCGCCCTTCTCCTAGAAGGACTCAGGGCAGTGTACAGCCAGAATAAAACACACAGATATAAAATTTAAAAAAAATTTAAGAAATATTAAATAGTTTGGCCCATATCTAATTAAAATAAAACTATCCGTTTTGGACATTTAAAAATTAAGAGTTAAAAATTAAAAATTAGGCCAGCCCGGCTTGTTGGAATAAAAGTGTCTTGAGGGCCCGGCAGAAGGTGCATAAATCGGGAATCCTCCGCATCTCGGGGGGCAATTCGTTCCAGAAGGCAGGAGCCCCCACAGAGAAGGCTCTCCCCCTGGGGGTCACCAGCCAACATTGCTTGGCCGATGGCACCCAGAGGAGCCCCTCTCTGTGGGAGTGAATTAGCCGATAAGAGGCTATTGGTAGCAGAAGGCGGTCTTGTAACTACCCAGGTCCTAAGCCATGGAGCGCTCTGAAGGTGATAACCAATACCTTGAATTGCACCCGGAGGACCACCGGAAGCCAGTGCAGCTCACGCAGGAGAGGTATTACATGGGAGCGCCATGACGCTCCCATAATCACCCGTGCGGCCGCATTCTGGACCAGTTGGAGCCTCCGGGTGCTTTTCAAGGGGAGCCCCATGTAGAGAGCATTACAATAGTCCAGGCAGGAAGTGACGAGGGCATGAGTGACCGTGTGTAGGAAGTCCCGATCCAGAAAGGGACGCAACTGGTGGATCAGGCGAACCTGATAAAAAGCCCCCCTGACCATGGCCATCACATGTTCTTCTAAGAACAGCTATGCATCCAGAAGGACACCTAAGTTGCGAGCCCTCTCCGTGGGGGCCAATGACTTGCCCCCAATAGTCAGAGATGGCACCAACTGACTATATCAGGATGCCGGGAGCCACAGCCACTCGGTCTTGGATGGGTTGAGCTTGAGCCTGTTTTTCCCCATCCAGATCCGCACGGCCTCCAGACACCGGGACATCATGTCAAGGGCATCATTGGGGTGGTCCGTGGTGGAGATGTACAGCTGAGTGTCATCAGCGTACCGGTGGAACTGCACCCCAAAACCAGGGGTGATCTCACTCAGCGGCTTCACATAAATATTGAACAGAAGGGGCGAGAGGACCGACCCTTGCGACACCCCACACATAAGGTACCTCGAGGTCGACCTCTGGCCCTCTGTCAACACAAACTGCGACCGGTCAGGGAGAAAGGAGAACCACCGCAGCACGGTGCCTCCCACTCCTAACCCCTCTAACCGGTGCAGCATGATACCATGGTCGATGGTATCAAAAGTCGCTGAGAGATCTAATAGGACCAGGACAGAGGAAAAATCCCTGTCCCGAGCCCTCCAGAGATCATCAACCAATGTGACCAATGCCGTTTCTGTGCTGTACCCAGGTCTGAAACCTGACTGGAATGGATCAAGATAGACCACTTCATCCAAGTACCGGGGGAACTGTCGTGCCACCACATACTCAACAACCTTCACCACAAAGCAGAGGTTGGAGACTGGACGATAATTCACTAAAACAGCCAGGTCCAGGGAGGGCTTCTTGAGGAGGGAAAAGCAACCCTCACTCAAAGAAGTGTTCATAATCCTCTGGAGCCAGCCTCATGTAACCTCCCGGGAAGCCAGCATCAGCCAGGAGGGACACAGGTCCAATAAATATGTGGCCGCATTAAGTCTACCCAGAATCCTGTCCATGTCTTCGAGAGTCACTGGGTCAAACTCCTCCCAGATAACACTCTCAAGACCTTCCTCCATCACCCCATCTGAACCTACCCCATCAGAGTCCAAGCCTTCCCGAATTTGAGCGATTTTGTCATGCAGATACTGTACAAAGTCCTCAGCTCTACCCTCCAAGGGGTCTTCCCACGCTCCCAGGTGGAGCAGGGAGCGGGTCACCCTAAACAGGGCGGCTGGGGGGTTATCTGCAGAAGCGATAAGAGCAGAAAAGTAGTCAGACTTTGCCGCTTTTATCGCCACTAGGTAGGTCTTAATATGAGACCTCACCAGTGTTTGGTCAGATTTGGACCGGCTGGCCCTCCAACCACTCTCTAGGCATCTTTTCTGGTGCTTCATTTCCCTCAGCTCCTCAGAAAACCAGGGAGCCACCTGAGATCGGCACCGGATCAGAGGCCGCAAAGGCACGATGCGGTCCAAAGCTCCAGCAGCCACCAGGTCTTCAGCCGCATCATGAGCCAGAACTGAGGGAATGGCCCAAGCTCCGTCTGGAACCTATCTGGGTCCACCAGGCACCTGGGGCGGAACCACCTAATCAGTTCTGCCTCCCTGCGGTGAGGTGTAGCGGTTTGAAGGTCAAGTCAAAGGAGAGAATGATCTGACCATGACAAGGGCTCGATCACAATATCCCCTATATCAAAACCATTCAGCCACTGGCCAGAGACAAAAACCAAGTCCAGAGTGTGTCTCCCCATGTGAGTGGGGCCATGAACTAACTGGGTCAGGTCCATGGCCATCATGGAAGCCATGAACTCCCGAGCCGCCTCAGACGTTTCACCAATAGATGGCAGGTTGAAATCCTCTATGACCATAAGCCTGGGGGTATCAACTGCCACCTCGGCTATCACATTGAGCAGCTCAGGCAAGGCCGCCGCCATGTGGCAGGGAGCCAGGTACGTGATCAGCAAGCCCATCTGGCCCCCACGGCCCCACTTCACAAGGAGGGATTCACATCCGGCTATCTGAGGCACAGTGGCCTCCCTCGGACCAAGACCTTCCTTTATAACAACCGCCACCCTCCTGCCCCTCCCCTGAGACCTCGGCTGATGGAATGCGCAGAAACCTGGTGGGCACATTTCAACGAGGGGGACCCCCCCTCCAGGCCCAACCAGGTCTCCGTAATACCCACCAGGTCCGCTTTCCCTTCCTGAACGTGATCACAAATGAAGGGGGCTTTATTTACCACGGACCTGGCATTG